GAAACAGGCCCAGCCCAAGGGACCTTCTTCAACCTCCAGCATGTTTGAAACAAGAACAAAGCGCGCGTTTTCCATTGTCAAGCATAGATCCTGATTCTTTGACTTTCATCAAAAACTTACAACAGCAAACTTGTAAAGCATCATGTCACGATTCTAAGCATGTAAAAAAATCAATCTAACTCTCAGAAATGAGAGAGAATTTCTTCTCCCCCAAATTCTGACCTAGTTTTTATGCCATGTTCAGACTCAAAATTCTTGCAGCACACATAATATAAATGAAATCTAATCATATGGGCATGTTCAGAGCTATGATTGTGACATGTTTTCTTCACAAACCTAAAGCTAACAATGCCTAATAAGAGAGATACGAGTTCATGAATTTACCTGTTCTTGAAGTTGTATCTGGCAATGGGGAAGCTTTCAGTGCAATGTGATGATTGGTATAGCTTCCTTGAGGTCCAGGGATGCTATTCCAAGCTTTACTTTGTCTTGAAACTTCTTGAATCGTGCTAGAGAACTTCAATTGCAAAACAAGAAAATGAAAATGGTGGAACTGGTTAGAGGAATTACAGGTCGTGTTTTAGGTTTTGGTTAGCTTGCATTGATGGTAGGGAAGGTGTGTGAAGAGCTTTTAGCAAGAAAGGATGACAGGGATGAGAGTTGGAACTCAATCTGCAGGGGTAGCTCTGTTTCTGCAGTTTGAGAGTGGTTCTGAGTTCTAGAGGGCAATGGAGGTATTGGAGTCGTGTGTTAGCTCAGAATGGATCTTTGGAATATGCTTGACAAGTTTGCTTCAGGGTTTTTGAGCTGATATGAGAGTTGTTGTATGTTATGGTATGTTTCTTCTTACTTAAGCAACAAAAGGCAAGTTGGTGTTCTAGACTGATGCCGGCCCCCATAACATGCTGCAAACCCTTGTCTTGATCAGTGTAATTAGCTCCTAAACTTGTGCCAATGAGATCCTAACTGTACTTGCTTGGATTTTCAATTTGACATAAAGCTTGCTTTTGCAAAAATGGATAAAGTACTTTATCTATTTTGGGATTAATCCACTATGCAATTCTAGAACACAAAGAACATGGTCTTGGCACAATGAATATGCATTAAATTTATGAGTGTAATTGAGATAAAAGGCCTGTAATCAAGTTGTGCAAGCTGAGATTGAAATGCATAGTGCTATGAACATGTAACTTGGCCTAATCAAAAGTGAGTTTTTGCCATATTGCAAAATTCGATTCTCCCTAACCATGAGGTTGTTTGATAAGTTCTTGGACATTTTGGAAAGCTTGGAATGTGTACTACAATCCATCTTTGAAATGCAAAGTGAAATTCCAAGTGGAAGTGTATGGAAAATGGCCTTGAAGTTAGGTAGAAAACCTTGCCAAAATAGGTTAAAATTTCACTAAGTTAAGAATGGTTTAGTACCCTTATTCCAAAAATTGTAACTTGAGATACAAGCCTCATTTGGGAAAACTTTGTGAATCAAAGTTGTAGATTATGCAACAAGCTACAACTTTCATGTTTTGACTTTTGTTTGAATCCAAATGAATCTTGGTGAGAAAGTGGGGCAAAGTTGGGAAAAAATTAGGGTTTTCCATAACTTAGAAAAATTCTAAGTTATGAAAAATTTCCATTTCAAACCCTAATTTGCATTTTTTGATTTCTTGGTGAACAAGTTTCATGATTTGGCATGTTTTGATGAAAAATGAATCTTGACCCTTGATTTTGACCAAAAAGTCAAAGTTTGACTTTTCAATATACAGTCAAAATTGATCAATTGACTGGGAAATTCAACTGCCAATCTTGTGTATTTGGGATCTTTTGAACTTGTTGAGCATGTCAAGATAATTCCATGGGGTCCTTGAGTCCATATGCGAGCTTGGTTTGCCATTGGTTGGGTCAAACAGTCAAAAATTGCCTTTGTGCAGTCAAAACCCTAAAAATGACCATTTTTCCCTTTTGGTGATCTGATCAAATTTCTTGTGGAATTGTGATCCAAACTTGATCAAATGGTCCATGTGAGTTCATAATATTGATGTGGGTCAATTTTCATGAGATTTGACTGTCAATTGGCCACAGTTGACTTTTTCCCCAATACAGTTGATTTCTAGGTCAACTGTCCAATTGACTGGGCAAAATTTGGAATCAAGACTTGAAACTTTGTATGGATAAACTTGGGAATCCAACATGAAGCATGAAAGTCATCTTAGGATTTTTAGGTCAAAACATCTTTGTGTAAACACAAACCCTAATTTGGGTCAACAGTGCAAGGAGAAGTCTTGAGCAGAGGAAACCCTAACTGGATCTTGAGCTCCAAGGGTTTTGTGATGAGAAAATGTTGAGGAAATGGGAGGGCAAATTTTGGGGTACAACAGTTGCCCCTGTTCAATCTTCTTGAACCTGAAGAGTTAGATTGGCAAGTTTGCCTTTCGTGACTCGAGGGTAAAAGGAGATTGGACACTAGAGTGCCCGGAAATTTGCACTCGCATGTTGGAGTATCAACAATGTGATGTCGAGAATGGGCTTATAAATGCCATTTGGATAGGTGGTGGATAGGGAGATGGGCTTATAGATGCCATCTGGAGATGTGACAGAACCTTGTCGGGAATGGGCTTATAGATGCCATTTGGAAGTGTTGATCGCACAAGAGATTCCTTAGCGAGAACTTTGTGTAATTGAGAAAGACAAATGTTTTCCTGGCTTGTTACAGGTGTTTGATCTTCAATCCCCTTATGCAGATATGCCCTGGCTGGACACAGGTATCGAATCTAGAATCGGTTGCTCACAGATGTGCCCTGGCTGGATACAGGAGTCGAATCTGGAAATAGTCGTCAATAGATATGCCCTGGCTGGATACAGGAATCGAATCTTCGAACTCTTCAGACGTGCCCTGGCTAGATACAGGAATCGAATCTGGAAATGTGGTCAACAGATATGCCCTGGCTGGATACAGGAATCGAATCTGGAAATGTTGTAGTTGATAGATGTGCCCTGGCTGGATACAGGAGTCGAATCTTTGAACTCTTCAGACGTGCCCTGGCTAGATACAAGAATCAAATCTGGAAACTGATCACTCTCAGATATGCCCTGGCTAGATACAGGTATCGAATCTGGAATTGTGACAATTGAAGGTAGTTGTCTTTGGGATTGTCTTTTTCCCTGAAAAGGCAAATCATAAGTTGTATGCAATGTCATGATGTATGATATGCATGATGTTTTAACATGAGATAGTGTTGTATGCACTTTATCATGTATGTAAGAAGGATGTATGAAAACGTGAAATGTTTATGAATGTATTTTCGTCTTAGGAAAATAAATCCTTGACGATCGACCGGGGAATTGCTCTGTGGAAGAGATACTTTGCTGAAGTTTTTGGTGAGAGGCCTGTTGAGGACTTCAATGATGGATTCCGCTGGGGATAATGATGATAAACTCCGCTGGGGATACCAAAGATAAAACTCCGCTGGGGATACCAAAGATAAACTCCGCTGGGGATTGAAAGAACTTTGTTGAGGGCGATCTTCCGTGGCAATTAGTTGAGGATAACCCAGTTATAAGCCCTTGTGAGGAATAACTCTGAATAAAGCTCGGGAGAGACGTCCGTATTCTGCAGGGAACAAGCTTCCAGAATCTACTGGGGATAAGCTTTAAGACCTGCCGGGGAAAGTTGTGCCTTTTCAGGATTGACGGGGAGTCAACTCCGCTTGGGGAAAGCATTGTTGAATCTTGTCTTATTCTGCGGGGCGTTGAGATGATTTGGTCACATTCTTCAGTCGAATCTACCTTGGTACCTTGGCGGACAAAGCAACCAGACTGCATCAGACAACCTTACATTGCCCCTGTTTCTGATGTCACCTGTAATTAATCTTTTGTTTCATATGCAAATATTTATGAATCAGCAATTTAATATCAAATGCATATATCAAAAATGAACATTGGACGTTCTTCGCAAGACAAAACAGAAAAAGGAAAAACAATGTTAATTTGTATGGACAAGTGAATTTGTATTGATTTGAATTTTGCCTGTGAATGAGCGTTTTTGTACAAGAGGCTGACATCCTAGTAAGAGGATGCCGCCGAATGACATAGAATTTACAATTTTGAAAGGGAAACAAAACAACTATGTGATCAATCCCACTGGGTTCCAACTCTGCTATCGCCTCTATGTCTTCAAGCGTCTCATCACTTTGCTGCTTGGTTGAAGATGAAGCTGATTGATCGATGCCGAGATCTGAGCCAGATAGTTGATGCCGAATTCCGGATGCGAAGTGATCCAATGAGCTAGTGAACAACCCACAATCTCGTAAATACATACGATATCTAACGTGTGATTCTTGAAAACACAATCAAGAATCTAACCGGAACTCTAGATACCAATTTATTAGTGCACGATGCACTTTTAGTGAGGAGAAAGATAAAATAAATAAAATAAAAATTACATTATTGACATGAATTATTATTAATAATGATACATATTAATCTATTTATATACAACTAACTTGTACACTAAATAGACTAACAAATCTTAATTAGACTTGAACTTGTAACACACAATTTGAATTATATATAGTATTTTAAAAAATCAGACGATTTTTATAAAATCAATAATTTTAAAAATTATAAAATTCAAATAAGTCAACTTTTATGGAATCACGCAATTAAGATCTAAGGGCTAATAATTTTTTTCTGACGGCAGGAGATTCAGTTTCCATCAACAAAACCGACAACACTAATAACACGATTACCAAGAAAAGATTACTTAGTCATTCAAACCATAATGTCGAAAAGAAAGAAAAAAAAACCATGCAGCGAATTCTGAACCACCTGAATATTCTAGGTGGAAATTACTCAAATCCATGCCTACCCATGAAAGGCAAAGCAAAATTCTGTGACATGAAAAATATAAACAAAGTTCATAACCATCTTAACCAAATCCTTTTTTGCAGAACTCAAAAGCAGCCATGAAAATTCAATCTGGCACAGATGATGATTCAGTTGCTTCAACTATCATCAACTGTAGAGTGAAATATGAAGCTTGGAAATGTAGTTGTGATTTCTCTGCAAAGCAAAACAATTTGTGACATGTTAGATTCTAGAGCTTGATAACATAATTCTAATCAATGTTCAACCAAACATGTTTCCATTTCCTTGAGATGATGATAATGGCAATAAGAAGAAACTCACGTGAGATAATGAAGAGTCATATTCTTGAGAAGGGATGGATGCTGCGTCACAAGGGTGCGCCATTCTTCTTTGTCAATCTTTCCATCATCATTTGTGTCCACTTCATCAAATGTCTGAAAATCATTGAAACTATTAGCATTAACTCTATAGAGAAGATTATGATAGTACAAACTAGAATCATTTTTGCTTGCCATAATCACAAGTTAACCAAGATTTACTAGTTTCAAATTATAGAAGTAGCTTATGACATGTAAAGTTGTTTTCAACTTATTTTCATCACATCTCCATGATAGCTTTTGTAAACAACTTATAGATTATATTAAAGCAATTTGAATTTATTTTATCTTTTGTTACATAAATAGCTTATACATAAGCGCTAATAACATAAACTCTCACAAGAGGAAATGTTTGAATAAACAACTTATTTTGCAACTTGTGGCATACATGTTTATCATATAAGCGCTTACGAATAAGCTATTTCTATAGAAATGAAATTCAATGTAGTCAATTTTTTGCTGCATTCACGCATTTGATCATTTTTCAATCGTTAGATTAAGATCAAACGGTTAAAATTTAAATACTATTTCTAAATTATATTAAATAAAAAATATTTAACCTAAATTTTAACCATTTGATTTTAATCTAACGATCGAAAGATGCCGAATACGTGATTGTGTCAAATTGACGACTAAAGGGAATAGTGGTTCATTCTATAACACAAGATAAAGTAAAATCAATATGTTTTAGTGTAATCTATTTCTTTCATAATCTATTTAGAAAACTAATGGAAATAAGTTGAAAATAGTGTCACAAGTGTTTATGACCGTAGATAAGATACTAATAAGTCAATTCAAACATGCTTTGTAAAAGCCTAATTTCAAGGTGTGCATGCAATGCAATGAATATAACTTGCATGCTTATTAAGATTTATTTTAATTCTAATAGATTATCAAGAAGAGTGAAAAAGGAAAATAGATTTTTTAGATTAGGTTAACATAAAAAAGAAAGAAACATAACTCATTAATGTCTAAAGAAATATACACCTATAGATTTGACATTAACACAATGTTATAAGATAAATAAATCACCTTGTCAATGATGCCATTAATCATAGCATCTGAAAGATTCATGCCAGATTCTGTTAAAGTAGCCACCACCATTTGTCTCAACTATACACACAAAACAAACATCACTGATCGCAGTCATTGCAGTACGAATTAAGTATAAATTATTCTTTAAAATAATAATAACAGTATCAGTATCGACAATGATAATACTGTTTTGTCTCAGTCGTTGAACGTTTTTAAAAATCCTGATCGTTACTATCATATTATCATATTAAAGGGTGAGTGGTTGAAACTCCATTTCTTCAATATCATATAAAAAGAAATTAAATTACCTCTTGCCTCTCAATGTGTCCTTGATGTTTGAGATCATACAATCTGAATAAAACTGCATGCAAGAAGTGAAAGTTAGAAATTCATAACACAAACATATGAGTTAAGATGCTAAAGTCTTTTTGTTACACTTACAGTCAATCTTATCATCCATTGATGCAATTGGATGAAAAACAGACAAAGCAGATGCAAACTCTTTGAAATCAAGTACTCCATGGTGGTGTGTGTCAAACAAGTCAAACACCTACATAGTTTGAAAATAATAAAATCATGAACACAAGCAAACACTTTTTTGAACATCCTCAAAGACATCATTGTTCATATGTAATATGTATGCATGTAATATTTTTTTCTCCTTTTTACTTAGCAAGAAAGATTAAAAGTTGCAAACAAAACATAAGTTAAACTTTTACTTCATATTTCACATACCCTCTCAGCAAATAAACTTCTTTTGTTGCTTGTCTTGAACAAGGACAACTGAAATTCTTCCTTAGTAATCAGTCCATCATCATCAACTGCACTGCTAATCTTCTTAAATAGTTCATACAACGCTTCAACCTCACTTACAGTAACTGCATTAACCCTAAAACAAGTTAATGATATTATAAGGCTTATAGTTAGTAAATGAAAATGGAAATGGAAATGATAACTTACACAGCGTTTCATTTGCAATTAGTTCTGGATTTTTTAAACCTTTAGGCTGCTGTTTCGAGCCTGATAATTCGGTATTGCACCAATTTACCACAGCAGCGAAGAATCGTTTCAATTCGTCTAAGCAAAGAGCCATGATGAAACTCACACACTACTAGAAAATAGTTTATCAGATCCTGAAACACCGTACACAGACAATAGATCTTTAATAGTCGGTTGCAAGACTAGATACCAAGATTTAAATAAAAAAATCATGTTATGTTATGTCAAATAAATTATTACTAGCATTGAAAATTTTAATATTGTACCTACAATATTCATATAATATAGGACAACCAATACATATATTACAAAATAAGTTTAAAAAAAATTGTCGAGGCAAAATGCCCTAGATGTCATCAATCTAGATCTATGGACCTTGATTATGCCTATACAGATTTTGAAGAAAAAAAATAGTTAGAGGTAATTAAATTAATTATTGAGAAAATAAAAAGATTACTTACAAAATCATATAATAATATTCAAAGTTCCAATAGCACAAGAACAAATTCAAGCAGCCAGACACAATGCCACCAGAAAGATGTTATTTTTACATCAACTTTGTGACACTAAGTTGAATCTTAAAAGAAAAAAAAAAGGTAAGACCATACACTATTAATCTGATTTATACTTCGATGATTATCAATTAAGCACATCAAAAAATCAAAAGAAAAAAAATTCAAAGAACTTTCATTTGCTGCATCTTTGATTGAAAACACAAAGATGGTCAATTTACAATTAAATCTACCAATTATTAATAAGAAGAAAAAAAAATTTGCAAAGAATTTTCATGGTAGCAGCGTATAAGTGAAATATTTTAAAGTGGAGAGGAGTGAAGTTTACCATTCAGAAAAGCTGAAAAAAGCTGGAGTGGCCATGTTTTTCTATAGGTAATTTAGCAAATAATGAAACAAATGAATGAAAATTTTGATTTATATATGCATATAGAATATATTAACTTAAATTATATACTTCAAAAATATATGTTTTTTAATGTCTTTTTGAGTAATTAATTAAATATAAACTTTGAATATCACTAAAAAGTAAAGAAAAAGATAAAAAAAGTTATTTGAAAAACGCGTGAAATGAAATAAATACCTTTAGAGAGAATTTGGAAAAGACCAAATTTAAAACGTAAAAAATTGTTAAAATAAACAAAAATATTTTCACAATTTCTAAATAAAAGTTGGTATCAACTTTTTAAGGTGACTGAATTAAATTTTTTTAATAATTCAAATGTATTGTGGAAGTTTTTAGGATCTTTTGTTGAAAACTGTTTATAGAAAAAGTATTTCTGAAAATCTGGAAATTGGAAATTTCGTAGGAAAATTGATTATCTAATTTGGGGAAATCGATTTCTACAGTTTGTTTCAGTTTTGGATTTATGTTTTTAGTTGAGGAAATCGATTATCCCTTAAATAGATTTTTACCACGTATTTTTGTTTTTTCAGCTGTTTTTTTTGGGTCAGTTTGGTTCCAAAGTTGTATGTTTGAAACCTAATGCCATTTTTTACTATTCTCCTCAATTACTCTCTCTCTCTCTCTCTCTCTCTCTCTCTCTCTCTCTCTCTCTCTCTCTCTCTCTCTCTCTCTCTCTCTCTCTCTCTCTCTCTCTCTCTCTCTCTCTCTCTCTCTCTCTCTCTCTCTCTCTCTCTCTCTTAATTTCTCCATAAATTCACTTTCATTTCATCTTCTCCAATTAACCATGTTTCACCATTGATTCGTCATACAAGCTTTGTACTTGTTCCAACATTTGGCATCAAGAGCCTTGGTTGTGATCCATTAATCCAGTGCAAAGATGACTGTCATTTCCAATAATCGAGTCCCTACCAATCTTCCAACCCTTGATTAAAAGAACTATAAAAAAATGGTGCAAACAAATGAAAATTTTGTTTGGGTATCAAGACGTTCTTGAAGTGGTTAACAATGGTGTTACACCACTTGGGGCAGAAGCTACAGATGCTCAGAATGTTGAATTCAAGGAAGAGAAGAAGAAAGATTACAAGGCACTCTTCTTGATATATTCTTGCATCGACAATGACAATTTTGAAAAAAGTTGGTGATTGCGACTCGACGGAGCAAGCATGAGAGATCTTGAAGGAAGCGTATGAAGGGGTTACTAAATTAAAGGCTACGAGGTTACAAACTCAGAAGAGAAAGTTCGAGTTGGTGCAAATGGAAGAGAAAGAATCGATCAATGATTATGTTATGCGTCTAACGCGTTTGGTGAGCCAAATGAAATCTTGCGATGAAACCGCTTTATAGCAGAATGTTGTTGCAAAGATCTTATGTTCTTTAGCGTCAAGATTCGACAACATTGTGGTTGCAATTGAAGAATCAAACGACCTTTCTACATTGAGCAAGGAGGAGCTTTAAATCTCACTTGAGGCTCATGAGCAAAGTATGGATGAAAGGGAAAATGACAAAGCTAAAGCAGAGATTGCGTTGCAAGCACGATTCAACGAGAAGAGTAAAAGATCGAAAGGAAAATGGTCTTCGAAGGGGAAGAAAAATTTCCAAAATTTTGGTGAAAAGGATCCATAAAATTCAAAGGCTTCAATGGTGCAAAGAGGTGAGAGCAGCTCTAAAGATAGTGGTCAAGGCAACTACACCAAGAAGTTTCACAAGAGTAATGTGAAGTGCTACAATTGTCATAGACTTGGTCATTTCACAAAGGAATATAATGTGAAATCAAGGAAAAATCAAAGGGATGAAGCTAAGTTGCTCGATAGGAGGTGGATGATGATAACATGCTTCTGGTCATGATCACATAGGAGAATTATGGTAAGAAAAAGATGTTGGACAACAGCAGTAGCAACTGTCAGTGGCTGGACAACAGTGTCATCAGCTTGAAAAATGCTACAGAAACGTGTTCGGAGCAAAACGTAATGGTAACTGTTCGAGATGGAGCCCAAGGAAGAGATGAGTGGTACTTGGATTTCGGTTGTTCAACATATATGACAGGTAGAATTTATTGGTTTGTCAAAATCAATCAAGCCATGAAGAATAAAGTGAAATTCGCGGATGACACCACTTTAGCGGTCGACAGAGTCAGTGTTGTTTTGATCATGAAAAAGGATGGGGGTCATTACTTGATCAAATATGTGCTATACATTCCTGTAAATAAATGTAATATTTTGAGCATTGGCCAATTACTTGAGAAGAATTACATGATTCACATGGAAAATAAGATTATGCGTGTTTTGGACCGAAACAAAGTTTTAGTCCTTAGAGCACCCATAGATGCCAATCAGAATTTCAAGATAGAGTTGAAAGTGATGGAGAACAGGTGTCTCGCTACAACGGAAAGTCATGATGAGTGGTTGTGGCACTACCATCTTAGACATCTCAATTTTCGAGACCTCTATGCGTTACAAAGGAATAGTATGTGTAATACGGTGGGAGGAATGACTTGGTTTTGCGTTTTATCACAAATGTTGCGGATAGCAAGAGTTGCCACCGACTTTTCTTTTATCCAATAAGGAAAGGGTGAAAAGAACATGAAATACCTTTCTCGATTCTGAGTTTGTAGGTTATGAAAAGAGAAGGTGTTAGCACCCTTTTCACCCGTAGTTATCTACGGGCTCTTAACCGCTAGCTCACTTTTGTTTTGGAAATTGTTTTGTGTTTGTTTGATTTGAAAATATTTTGAAAATGCCAATGTAAGGCAAGAATTTATAATGATTCTCGTGTGTGTCCTCGAGAATGCGTACAAAGTGTTTGTTTAAAAATATTTTGAAAAGTGTTTGATTTTTTGTTTGTGAGCAACCGATTAACAACGGTCTACCTACTCAAGGTCTTTCTTGTACTTTCCTTCTCTTTTAGATAATGATATCCTACCATTAGTTAGTAGGAAGTCATATCGTTAGATGTGAAGGGACATGCATGGGTCATCGTATAGTCATCGAAGGTAACTTGTAGAGACGCTTTAGCATATTTTGTTAAGGGACTAGATCATTTACCAAAGGCAGCGTCGAAAGGGTCATCGAGGGACTATGATCTTTATATCGAGGGATTATGCTAAAGTGTCCCCATGTTCGAGGGACATGACTGTATTTCTGAAGGCAACAAGGGAGGTTATCCTAGAGGTGTGAGTGTGCAAGTGATTTGTGATTCAGTTATTTTAATATTTTATTAGGGTTAGATAACGTTTCATTATTAGTCTTTCCATACAAGCCCTAATTACTAACAATAATAGTAAGATAGTAAAGCAGTAAATGTGCAGAAAGTAAAAAGCGGAAAGTAAAGCCCAAGACTATTACAACACTTTGGGAGAGGTACGTAATAGAAATGAGGAAGAATAAACCTTAATTTCTATTAAAAACTGGGAAAAAATTACATAATTAGAAAAAGTGCGAGAATAATAAACCACACAAAATGTAAAAATAGGAAAAAAGAAAGTGAACGTGTTTTTGGTGATTTTTTTTTATAAAAAAAAGTTTTAATGATCAACCTAAAAAAACCTAATTAATTTTAATTAAAAAAAAGAAATTTATTACTTAAATTAAAAGCCTAAACCCTAATTTTGATTAGGGTTTGTAAAAAGGTTTTGAAAAAATTAGGTTTGTTAAAAGGTTTTGTTTGTGAATTTAGGGTTTGTAAATGCAAAATTAAGGAAAATATGAAGAAAAATAAAGTTTTAAAAGAATACTGCTAGGGGTGGGTGTTGAATCCACGTTCTTTTCTCTTTCCACCAAGAACTTCACCACTAGGCCAGACGTGCGTCCGTTGAAACAACCGGCTGAAAATCATCAAAACAATGAAGTCGCCATCGAACGTCTTTTATCCCACATGTAGGGAAAGGTAAACATCGAGAAAACCTGAGGAGGGAGAAGTCACGGTCTTGCGACTGAGAGATCGGGTAAGGGAGTCTGTTACGCGAGGGGAAGGTATTAGCACCCCACACGCCCGTAGTACTCTACGGTATCCACTCTTGTTATCTATCTTATGGGTGTGTTTAATCTATGCTTACTGTTTATTACTGCTAAGGGAAGAATGCATGCAAAAGAAAGGGGAAAAGAATGTAGGGAAAATAAAATTGTGCTCGCCTGGGCCCTACCCCAATGCCTACGTATCCTTTTTGAGGAATCAGAGCTA